GAACGAATGGAATTTGGAGAAGACGTGAGACCTGGCCACGTGTAACACGGCGTGTGCTTTGCTCAAGACCAGGTTCAGCGATCAACAGAAAGAAAGGCGAAAATAGCATGCTTGCATTGGAGGCAAGACATCTATGGACAAAAACAACAATCTTGAGCTTAAAATGGTGGATCAGTGGGGAAATATTTAATCTACCTTTGGCTTTGGAACCTGCACAGTCAAATATCGACGGTATACCGTCGATGGAATAAAACGTTCGTAACTAACTCGAAACTTGACGGATTTCCACGATCGAAATATCTGGGAAGAAGCCGAAGAGCTCAGCTTTCTAATGCAACAATCGCCGAAGAGCTACGATGTCGCGTTGCAGAGATACCGCGCTCGACATTTCAGTCACGGCAAAAGTCGAACTTTTTCTCAGTGACTGGCCTTGAGTGAGGGATTTCCCCTTGGATGACATGCTGATTCACCCAGGCACGCTTACTGCACATGGCCAGCATAAAACAAAACTCAGTGGAAAAAAATTGAGCGTTCCGCGATGAATGAGAGAGAAATGGCTGGCGTCGAGGAAATTTGCTCGTATATCCAGCTCTGTGGACTGTTCGAGGCACCGTGGCGTTGGATATGTGACTGCTGTGGTGTTGAATTTGAGCTCTAGTTACTCTGCTCGCGGAGAGCTTTCCAGGAAGCCCAAGATTATGGAAATCCAAAAACGAAAATCAAAGTTATGGCCAATATAAGGTAAAGAATATGTCGCAATTGCAGTTGCATACAATTATCAGGATTATTTGGGGCTGCAAAGGGTTAACTTCCCCTTTAATTTGAAGAGAATTGGTGAGCACACATGCTCATTCCGTGGGCACTGCAAGTTCACAACTCACTTCATTTTACAGAATCATTTTCAACGTTTCGGCAAATTGCCATCATCAGGATGCAATATGAAGTGGAAGTCTGCCAAGGAGCAGTTATATACACTAATTTGGTGTTCTTAGGTGTTGATAATATTTCTATGACTGCACATGTTACCTCAGTGCTAGAAATATGACATGTCTAAAACTAGTGAATGATCACAAGTTTTCACTGACTCATATGCTGGGTGTTGGTAATAAGTTAGCACAGCGCAGATGTCACCAGATAACTTGAGAAATGTCTGAACAGGTTTCTCGCAAGCAATACACGAATGTAATCATGTCAGTGTTTTCCAGAAAATACTGTCACCTAGGTAGCCAGTGTGGTGTGACTGTTTTAGAGTAATGACCATCCAGCACTGGTGTTGATCTCTGGGCCTTCGTTTCTGATCTCCACTGCCTCTCGCAATTTGCGGCTTGCCCTGTCACTGGCTCTTGCAACCACAGACACTGCCGAGAAGACGCTGTCCCCGACGCCTAGGTTGATCCCTGCATGCTTAGCTCGCATGTGGTCACCCCATGGCTTATCCACAGTGCGCCTACGAGTGTTAATTTGCCCGTAAAAGAGGCCAAAAAAAGTACTAGTAGTAGATCTACTATTTACTAGTACTACGCAATTAGATTGACAGCATGGAACAAGGTGGAGGACACTGTGTTCGGAAACAGTGACCTTACTACAACCTTCCGCGGGACCAGTTGAACCATATGGGTAATTTTTTTGTCATCACCATGACACTGTCGCGAGAAGGTGCTCTCTGTAGACGGGGTTAGTGATGTCCCGACGTGGCCATGGGCGTCACCAACCCCGTCTACAGAGAGCACCTTCTCGCGACAGTGTCATGGTGATGACAAACAAACTGTTGACAGCTGACGAGCTGAGAGAAGGACGCCATGGGCAGAAGTTGGAAGAAAAGAAAAAGAAGTTTTAATACAAGTTAAAGAAAAGAGCGACGAAAACAAGACGACATCAGGAGTAGTCTCCTAACACCCTAGCATGAGGGTCAGAACCGGGTGCGATACCCATATGGTTCAAATGGTCCGCAGGGACCGGGGCTCTGCCAACCGCGGAAGGTTGTACAAGTAATAGTTACTAGTTTATCATGACATAGTAATAAGACTATTGGCTCAACATCCGAGTTTTTACCAGCTAAACAGTTTGCATTTAGTGTTAGTACATACCAGTATAGATACGGGTATAAACACCAGTATAGATACGGGTATAAACACCAGTATAGATACCGGTATAAGCACCAGTATAGATACCGGTATAAACACCAGTATAGATACCGGTATAAACACCAGTATAGATACCGGTATAAACACCAGTATAGATACCGGTATAAACACCAGTATAGATACGGGTATAAACACCAGTATAGATACCGGTATAAACACCAGTATAGATACCGGTATAAACACCAGTATAGATACCGGTATAAACACCAGTATAGATACCGGTATAAACACCAGTATAGATACCGGTATAAACACCAGTATAGATACGGGTATAAACACCAGTATAGATACCGGTATAAACACCAGTATAGATACGGGTATAAACACCAGTATAGATACGGGTATAAACACCAGTA